TATGACTTCCTTCTCTAACTCTGTATTTGCTGTTCTCAAAGTCTTTGTTCTTCCCATACCAGCTAGCGTTCTTGGTAACCATAAAAATCCACTGTGGCTGATTGAAGCAGAAAGGGATTTAGTGAAAAGCTATTGACAACTCTCAGAATTACCAGGAAAGCTAACGAAGCAGTGTTAGAAGACGGGGAAGGACAAGGTGGGAGCTGACCAGCTAGAAACGGCCAAAATTTCATGGCCACAGAGCAGGTTTGGGGGGACACTGCTGCCGCCACTACTGGACATTGAACACTGCAGCTGGCACCACTAATACAGGACAGTGCCAATGGCACCTTTGCCACCAGAAGATTCTCCTTTTGCCTTGCTCCTCTGCACCACTAGCTCCTGGTCAGATCTAGACAGAATATTCTGGCCAAGTCACTGGCCTAGTCACTAACCACAAAGGGGACCTAGACAGGAGTATCTCACCTGTACCGTGAGAGATGGGCTCTGCCTCTGCCACAGCTCATACGGTGGGAAACAAATCGATTCCAGGCAGGAACAAAAAAACGAAAGACCACATGGCCCATCCCCAATTCATGACAGTTGTTTTATTAAACTTTCTACAACTTTCTTAAGTCCTTAAAGCTGTTTCTTCTAACCTCTCACTCAGCAAGAACTCTGGAACACAATTTAATGCGAAATTAAAACCTTAGATGTCACAAATTTATATACAAAGATGTTCATAATAGCATGATTTAGAATAGAAAAAAAAGAGCCTAAATTTACAACAATAAGTAGTTAGATGAATTATGAGATATCCATAGGATTAAATATACACAGTCATTAAAAATCATGAATTTTAAAAAGTTTTTACAACACACAAAAATATAACTAAGAAGAACTTGGTAATATTTATATATAAGCTCTCACAATTATGTGCATACATATATGAACATGTCTTGTAAAATATATGTATATATATAAAATGTATGTATATAAAGACATATTGGAAGAGAATACACCAAAATGTTAACAGATTGATAGGATTGGAAGGATTACTTTCTTCTTAATGCTTTTCTGTAGTTCTCACATTGAACTGAAAAGTTAGTAGTAATAGTTAAAAGAAAATCCACTGAGAGCAAACTTGTCTTTTATCGTGTTCTCAGAAAGTACATTTTTTCCCAAACCAATCTTAAACTCAGTACTCTGAATTCTTACTTTTTTTTCTCCTGATGTTGAAAGTGCTCACCCTTTTCTGTATAATCAGTTCCTCCCTAACCACCCGTTTGTTCCCACCAATCTTTATGTTCACATTCTATAAACCTTTTCCCAACCCTGTTTAGCTCACCCAGCTCCTACCTGAGCTCCTCTCTCCTACATGTTCACTCATCCCTTGCCCTGTATTTTAGCCCAAAGAGTCACTGAAATAGCCACTTGGAGGTTTCCATTACTCTTGGCCAAATCTGAAGCTCTCTGCTCCACCTCTATCTTTGTAGCTTTGTTCACTGCAAGAGACATTATTGATTATTTCATCATCTTTTACACACTTTTAGGCATAGGCTAAGTCAGAGTACCTTGTGGTTTTCTTATTTCTCTAAAATAAAAAGGTGCACTCTTAAGCACCTTACTTGACTTTGCTTCCTATTAAGCCTTATAACCAAGCTCTTCTTCCTGTGTCTCCTGACTGTTCCTATACCTCAGGGTTTGCTCTCTTCCTCATCTCCCCATTAAACTGCCTACAGAGTGGAGCCAGTGTCCTAATAACAGAAGTTCTGATCTTGACAGGACGAGTGACCTCTACAGAGGCAACCTGCCCCGACCAGCTCTACTTTGACAGGACTCCAGGTCTCCGGCTTCCTCCATGGGCCCTAGAAGCTCAATAAAACCTTCCCTGTGGCCCTGTTCCTGCAGTTCATGAGCTCGCTCCAGCCTCCACCTCTGTCTCCACCAACAAAAGCTTGTCCAAAGATCTAGTCTTCAGGCCAGTGCCTCAGAGTTGGACTCTGCTTCTCTGCCCAGTCTCTTCGGGTTGCAGCCCTAATTGAACTCTCCATCTGGCTTTCAGTCTCATCTTCACATGCTCTCCTTTGGATTACCCTTCACTTCATGGTCTCTGACCTTCAAACCAACCGAGACCTTGGCCCATATCCTGTGTGTGGGGTTCCTATTAGGCTAGGAGCTGAATTCAAATGACCGAAGTGAAATATGTCTTTTCGTACCTACCGATGTTATGCTTTAGCCAACAGGACTTGACCTGTGGTAACCCAATTCTATAGGACAACAACCCTCTTGTAACTATTCTTGATCCTTGATCTGGCTCATCTACCCTCATGACTTCATGTTTATGTTAGCCCTGACCTCTTTTTTCTGTTTTCTAGACCCATAACTTATATTATCTTCAGTACATCTCTTGGACTTCATGCTCTCAGAAAAGTTTATTTATTGATTTTTAATCCACCCAACAGACTTGTATTGAACACCTACCAGTTGGCACTACAGGTGGTCAGTCAGAGACTAGTCAGAGAGTTAGACAAAATAAAGGGCTGTATCAGTTAAGGATGTTTTTATTGCTAGTGACAGAAATCCTGATTCAAACTGGCTTAAGCAAAAATGGAATGTATTCCCTCACATATCTGGCAAGTCTAGGGTTAGGTCTGGTTTCCCTCAGGCACAGCTGGATTCATGGATCTTAAATGCTACCTTTGAGACCTGGCCTGTCTTCATCTCTCAGCTCTGCCCTGTTTTGTTCTGTGATGGCTTTATTTTCAAGCTCTCCATATAGTAGCAAGATAGATGTTAGCAGTACCAGGCCCACGTCCTTTAAGACTCCGGTGCAGCAGAGAAAGCGCCGCACTCTCAGCAGTTCCAACAAATGTCCCACTTCATCTTGTGGTTTCTCAATAGATTATGTGTTCTTCCCTGAACAAATGACTTTTGCCAGGGAATTCGATGCTCTGACTGGTCACACTGGAGTCATATGTCCTCTACTTATAGTTGGGTATGGAGTCAACTTCACTCAAGCACGTAAGCTGAGAGCGAGGGATACAGTGGTTCCCCTGAGGAAAAGGCAAATGGATGTGGGATGGTAAAAGATTTAAAAAAAAAACTGTCAGTTACAGCCATGATGTTTATGATAAACGTGTATGATAGAGTTACA